GCACTTCTCCGCTATTGTCGCACCGTTTGCTTTTCGCTCTGTTGTAGTAACTGAGCACCTGCAACAGGCTAGTAATCGGTGAACTCTTAGGAAACATTTATGTATAATAATGAGATGTTGGCGCAGTATTGTGATTGAACCTTTTGGAATTCCTTTGAAACCCTGTATTTTCTCAGGCCTTTTTTCCAGCAGGTACTTTAAGTGAAGTGTCACTGGGAAAGAGTTTTCTTCGCTTAGAAGTAGCTTTAAATTAAGTTAAATAATGCGATCTTCAGAGCGTGTTCTCGTCTTTATTCCTCTGCCAGAGGATATGGTCAAGTTAATGTGTCCCCACGGATGCAATGTGCCGTGATGATAATTTTTCTCTTTTTGCTGCCACACGTTGCGCGCGATTTATCTTAATTCTCGCGCGCGCTCGAGCTTTATTTATCATTATGACGTCCGACGTCATACTTGTGGCGTACTCATGTGGTTGATGTTTGCCCCATTTAGTTTCACATTTGCGAATTTCTTCTCAGTAATTCCTTTAACTGTACTCTGCTTTTTTTTTTCTAGGTCATAGTAAGACTAAGAGCCAGTAGACACTTAAGTTCCCTGGAAGAATTTGTCACAGACTGGAGAAAGGGAAAATTCACCCGAGAACACACAAGTAAGGAAAACCTCTCAGCTAAATTTTTCTTCTGTAGTCATGCGACACATGTAGTCACGGCAGAAGTTCTTTCATTTAACAATTGGTTCATACGTCAGCGTGCGTTCATCGAGATATTAAGCACGCGGGAAGTTTGGAGAGCACGAAGGATGCGTAAGAGTTGCTCGAGGCGTAGCCGAGAGCAACTCTAGCTTCTTGAGTGCTCTCCAAACTTCCCAAGTGCTTCATATCTCGATGAACGCACAGCTGATGTATGAACCAATTGTTTTATAACATTTTCAACCCGATGGAAAATTTTTTTTCGCGAGGGATTTGTTTGCTGACGTCATAAGCGTGCACAATAGGAATATGAAGCACGCTCGCGCAATTGAATTTGATTAGACAAATTTACTTGCTATGTTATAGTAATAATTTTCCGTACTGAGCCCTCTCGGTTGAAATATTATTTAAAAAATTGTGCTCAGAAAGATAAAGCCACAAAGAAATTCAGACTCTTGACGGTTTCGAACCTGTGCTTCCCACATTCTAGTTGGCGCTACTTCTAAATGAATTGAAATTGCAGAGTCATAATTTTATTTTCTATGCGTGCGAACAGGCTGGAAGTGCTCACGGGTAAAATTCCTAAAACAGCTTTTATTTTCTTTCATTGCATCTTAGGAAGTCAACTTGCAGAGAGTGAAGAAGAAAAGCTGTTCGATGAAGTTGAGGTCCCTCTGCGGATCTCATCTGAAGGCATTTTTCCGTTTTGCTTTCCGTCATTTAAATCTCCGGACACAAAAGATGATATGGTACACATGCTTAATATTTCTGGATCTGACCTTGCCCTTGATAGCCTCAGCTTAAGGGTTTTAGTTATGTTTGCAGGCCGTGTGTGTGTGTGTGTGTGTGTTGGGGGGGGGGGGGTATTTTAGGCTTATTATTACGGTGACGGTGTGCTTAGATAGTCACTGTCAGTCAAATATGATTTCAGGAAAGTAATAAAAGGGATAAGACACCCCGATGGCTCCTCCCCCCGGAATTTTGCCGGTTTTTAAAAGCATAAGAGACCAAAAGTATCGTTTCTCCACTCTGGACGGGGTTCTTGTCGATCTTTAGTAGTTCCCGCCCCTGCCTCCCTTTCGTGGTTCACCAGCACCCATTATGCTCTTGGACCGGGTTGTTCAAAGCTGAGGCAAGATAATTCAGGGTTAGTGTGAAGTCTGATTTCCGGTCTGAAAGCTTTGAAAGAAAATTCAACCCGATTCTGCTTGTCTACATTCTAATGATTGGGATGCTTTAGAAAGAAAATGGAAAATTATTACAATAAAGGCTTTTGAACAAAGGAATAATGAAACCAGGATTAACATTGACCCTGGGTTTTCGCTTATTGGTCTTCGAAAAACTGGGCCCTGGGTGGAAAGAGGCGCTTCGAGGATAAAGTTTCGTGATGCTGATAGGTACCCGCCCCCAGTTCTCCGCCCGTGCTCAAACCAGGACCTCTCGTACTAACCACAAAGCCACGGTGTCTTTACAAATGAATGGATAAATGGTTTAGTAAAAGTTTCTTTTATACCCTCAGGATGTTGATGCTCTTGGTACACTGAATGTGCAAGCGACTTTTGTCAATGTCAAAACACACGTGCCTTATTACAACTTAAAGGTACGTTTCTTAGCTGTTTTTGTCTATCTACAGTTTCTAATAACACTGTTTAAAATGAAATATTATAAACAGTTATTGAATGAGGGTTTTGTGATATCCAGAATAATCAAGGTCGAGGAAGGGGTTATCAGCCGAAGCCGTAGGCTTAAAACCCTTGCCTTTTGGTTTTCAATCTGATTGGTTCGACTGGTAGGGCGAGTTTTTAGACCAATTACAGAGCGAAATTGCTATTCTCTGTACGTTTACTAAGGTGCTGACAAGGAGAATTTGTCTAACAATCAAGAGTTTCTTTACTTGGTGATCATCCCCCTTTGTTCTCATGACATCAATGTGTGATTCAGTGGTGATATTCTAAGAAGAAATTAGATGTTAGTTACTCTTAAGGGTTAAAGGGGGGGAGTTCTCTCTGTGAATCTGTCTGTTGTGTATTGTCTAAAGCTTAATTTGTCTCTAGGTTCCCAAACAATGTGACATCCTGGGTTATAACCGTCACTCCGTAGCCGACGCGTCCTCGGGGTATGTCCCGCCAAAGCTCGTACGTCCCTTGAGGGTTGGCGCCGAGGTAATGTCAAGTTTGTTTTGCACGGTTATTTTTTTACTTGCGTACAATAAGTTTATCTCAAGATAATCCAACATTTTACTCGATGTAAATACTTACTTTGAAACGTGTTTCTACATGCGTGCAGATACAGCGTACAGTACCTTACTGAGTACCTTACTCAGTTAGTAGAACTTTGCTCCGTTATCGTAGAGGTCATGGGTTCAAATCAATATAATATAACTGTATTATCTTGGTTCAAATCCCGTACAGGCCTGAATTTTTTTTCAGGCCTTATTGTCACTACTGATTAAGTAGTGTTCAATACTGCGACGAACGCTTTCATATTCAAATGCTGTGGGAGTTGTATGTGTATCGCATGTAATTTCTAGTCAGATGAGTACCTCTAGAAGTTGTTTAATTTTTGAAGTCAAATATATTTGTATACACCTAGCATCTCTTGGTTCAAATGTGGTTTCTAGCAATGAGATTGCAGTGGATAGAGCTGGCTGATCCATTGATTGGAACTTGATTCCTCATCATAATTCGTTGTAACTGCATTGAAGCAATTCTTATGAGTTTTTCCTATTCTTTTCCATCTATCTTACCGCCAAGTCCTTTCGTTTGTCAACTTGTTTCCTGTAGGATGAAATAATAAACTTGGTCAGCAGTGTACCGCTTACGTCGGTTAGAAGTCCCAGTCCCGTCCCGACCACGGAAGGAGGCGAGGAAACTAAAGAAGAGGGCGAAGAAGACAAAACACAGAATCCACAAGTAAAGAGCCCCATTATCACAACCCCACAAGAGGACGTAGCCGTGCAGGAGCCTGAGGCGGTGCCCCTCGTGGTGCCTGCTGCGTTGTTCAGACCCACATCTTACCATCCCATGCATATTTTTGTAAGTTACAGAAGATTTTCACCACTTTACTCCCGCGAATGTTTAATAATAAATTCCTCCTTGCAATTACTCTAGTAGACTGTCAGACGGATCGGTTGCGAGAATCAAGAAAATCAGCAGTTGCTGTATTTTGTTTTTGTAATGAATAGTGACCATAAGGTCCTTTCTCCTTGCCAAGTCAATACACTGTCAATCAGACTGCTGATGAGAACTATAGACGATGAAAGGGTGTCTTGATCTCCACCAAATTCTTCGCACTCATCATTAAGCAAATGTGTGAGCATCAGTTGAGAGAATTAGGTTTTTAATCTTTAGAGCGAGGGGGGTCCCGCCAATTCCAAAGGGCAAAACGTGAGTTGGTTTTCATCGGCTTATTTTATTCAGTGAAAGTATTTGCGTTTGCTACGAATGGGATGTTTTTACCCATTTTTTTCTCGTTTTTGTACTGAAAAGATTTAAGGGAAGTAGAGATATTCTATCCCCTTGAGATTCATAAGGCGTTAATCGATGTTCTGCGAACTCAGCCTTGTTTCATGCATGGCTCATAACCAATGATTTTTTCCTACAGAACCCCGCACCAGGTTTACAAGTGTTTAAGCCTCCGCTTCCTTACTCCGAAGTGGATGAAGACTATCATTTGTGTCCGTTACCACGTAACAGAACTGCTGGAAAATCAGGGAAACAAGGCAGGAAATACCTGGAGAGACAGGTAAACACCAATTGATACTTGATCTGTGGGTGTTACAACTGAAAAAGCGAGCTGGGACCGCTTTGCTTCTGCTTTACTTCTCTCTTTGATTGGTCGTGCACTGCCCTCACAGCCAATTAGACGCAAAGCGAAAGCAAAACGCGACTTGGCCACTCGCGTTTTTCCGCGCTTTTGGTCAGTTTGTGTAGTTAAATAGCGCTGGGTTTTCATTGACTCCTTGGTTTTTTATCTCTGTTGTAATAGGTCAGTTCAGTTATAATTTTAGTTTTGATTTTACGAAACTTAATCGAGAAACTGCTTTAAGAAACCTTTTTCAATCGTAATACTCGGCCATCAAATACTGAAGAGAGTGAGTTGAGGGCATTTTCTATCTGTATGGAAAAACTTAAATGACGCAGTTCTTGTCAGAAATTAAGTCCTGAAACGTTTATGTCTCCTTGTATCCTTTTTAGGATGTTATTCCTGGTGTTATGACGTGGAAGCGGTTTCCTTGTCAGCCTCTGGTATCCATGGCAGCAAATCCAACGATATCAAATGTGTGGATTCCTCGATGGTGAGTCGATCAGTGAAGAGTTGAATTCTTTGACAGCACTTTTCAATAACGTGTCATTTCGAAAATCATGTGGTTGAATAATTTGACAGCACTTTGCAGTAATGTGTCATTTATGAATTTGGAGATAGATAGGAAAAATCGTTTTACTATATCGAAAGTAATGTGGTTAACCTTTCGGGAAACAAGTGCAATGGTTCTTACTGTATAGAAGGTCATGTCCAGCGTTGTGGCTGAATGAGTTTGACCCTTGTTGTTTTTGCCCTATATAACTGTTATGATAATGATTTTTGGTAACGTGGAGCGAAATCACAAGGTTGGGTCCATTCAAGCCTCAAAGATCGCATGTTGTTATCCAACTGTACGAAGCAGAGTACAAATAACGGGCGAATAGAGTACACATATCCTGCGATATTGTACGGTTTTTTGGACAGTTGGTTATTTTGTATTGTTAAAACAAATCTTTTTAACCAGTCGGCTGCGCGCTGCCCTTCCTATCCGCTTTGCATTCCCTGCCTTATGAGAAGTGAACAGAAAGACCTAGCAGGAAAAAAGCCGTAGGACAATAAATAACTTATCAGACGTTTTGGTGAGAAGTATTGCTAAGTATTTTTACTCGTTGTTTGTATTTTGACTCACCCTACGAGCTCATCAAAATACGGGACAACTCGTAAACACACCAAAACGTCCAATGAGATATATATTCATTGAGAGGCGCGGTAAGAAAACAAACATAGTTTTTCCTTTTGCTAAAACTTGCGTACACCCTTTTCCGACCTTAGGACTGACCCATTCAGTGAGGACCTGCTGCCTACGGAAGTGCCTTCATTACTACAAGGTCTCCCGGATGATGACGTTATGAGTGATGACGAAGCGTAAGTTACGCAAATTTAAGCAAAGAAGATAAATAATGTATGAATACATGTATGCATCGATACGAAATCATGCGAGCGGTTTCAAGAGTAACAGAATTGATACAAAATTAAGATATTAACATCACTAAGGAAAATATGATCAACTCTGCGCAAAATTTTCAACTGATAATAGAAGTAATTCTAGTTTGCGTTGGTTTTGCTTTTTTTCCGCTCTATTATTGGTGTATAAAACTTTGCTCGTGTAACTCTCGCAGCCAATCAGATGCAAGACTTAAAACAAGCGCGAACTGGGCACGCACACTTTCCCGCGCTTTAAACAGTTTGCTCTTATTAGGTGGCTCTTCTAATTCCTGCCTCCTGGACAATTTATTTTCCAGTTTTAAAGGAACTATGCCTGCAATCACGTGTTTTGCACGAAATTCCTCTTGAAGTCAACATTCTAGGACACTTCTCCCACACTATGTTCGCGTGCAAAATCTTAAACTCCTAGTTTATTCTACAGCGTCCTGTTACTGGACGCGGTGAAGAGTAAAAGTTTTAAACATTCTTTACTAAGAGAAAAATATCAAAGGTTTATATTTTGTAGGGTGGGAGATTTCTGTATAACTAATCATCCTGATTAAAGTTCCCCCAAGAAAGGGCTCCAGAACTAAAATAAAATTCGCGTTTGGTGAGGACACCTTCAGTAACAGTGCCTTCACAAATTACATCCTGATATCTTTTTGCCACTATCTGTTGTTTCAGGGAAGAAGAAGCAGCAGACCCAGGCTTCCAGGAGATCCCAATCCCCACGCCAGAGATGGTTTGTGCCCAGTTTCCCTCGGCAGAGAGCATTCTTGGAGACCAAGATCAACAGGGGTCGTCGCAATTAAGGTAGCTCTCGACGTCTTTCGTGATTTATAATAATGTTACGTGTACTTTAGTTTTTCAGCTTTGTTATCTACAGTAAAGGGGTGGTTATACTTAGTCTGAGTTGATGGTATGTGTCTGTATCTTTATAGTGAGATGGTGCTTCACCCAGGCGGAAACACGAGAACCTTAGTGGCTGCTCCAACAGCAGCCACCACATCCTTCGTTCCAAGGTACTGATGACCTTCCTAGTGTATTACATTTTGTTTTAGGGGAGCTTACGATTCATAGAAAATAGCCGGTTCGGCTGGTCCATTCACAAAGAGAATGCTGGAAAAATTATTGACTGCCTCTGTTTGTTTTGCGTTCTTTTACAGGGAGAAACGTGAAAAAGAATTAAACGAATTTTTGAGACAGCGGCAGAACAGAGTGGGATTTAGAATAAAACAAAGGATACAGTCCATAAATGATGCCATGTCTTCGTCCAATCTGGAACTAAAATAGAATTTGATAAATTTGAAATTAGGAAACAGATGTGGCTGATTAGTTGTTTTAGTTAAAGTGCGAAAGATTTCACTTGTCTTTTTCCGATATTTGACCGTCTTTGCCCATTTCAGTGAGCCGTGTAAAAATTTTGTCTCTTTGGTTTGAGTTGCATATACATCAAGTGTGAATGTTATAAATTTGTTGATACGAATGGTGGTTCATTCCCTAACGTAAACAGAACATTTTGTAATAAAAGTGTCGTAAACCGACTGCGTTTGTGTCCTTGACCTGAGATACCAAACGTGCTTAAGTATTGCGTGATTTAGATCGTAACTAGATAATTGTGTTTTATACACGTTCCGCAAATGAAAGCTTAGACATCACTATCCACGCTGCTAGCGCGAAAGCACGTAACACGCGTGATGTCTCGCGCGTACGCCCCTCTCTTCTTCGGTTACACAGTCTCTATTGCCACGTGATCACGTATTACGAAGACAAACAGGGAGTTACTACATCACGGGCGACGAGCGGGGATAGAAAAAACGACCCAAATATGAGCGGTCAGCGGTGAAACAGCTTTTATACTTCATATAGAGACATATAATTTATTGTTCCAGAGACAATCGTGTTGTAAAGCCGAAATGTTAACAGTTTACTTCACAGTTTAGGCAATTTTTCCCAGAATTCAAACTTTGTGATTTTTTTCTCGGCTTAAACGCTAAGTCAGTTGTTCAATTGAATAGGAAGAAAAACATTTCCAACGGAAAACAGCATTATTTGCACGTGTGGATCTTTTGAGAAAAGGTCTCCTAAACGAGTGGTCTTGATTGTAAATATTTAAGGAATGGTAAATACATTAGCCTTAACATGGCTGTTTCTCGAAGCTCAGTGTTTTCCTACTTGCCTTTTTTCCACGTGAATTGGGGGCGATTGAATAGATATAATATGCAGTAAAAGAACTTCAGCTGATAGAAATTTTAAATTTCTCATCTTAGGCTGTGGATACAAAATTCAAGTGAAAAGGAAGCCAACTGTGATTAATGCTTTGAACAAGTCAAGATACGTTTTTTTCGTCACACAACAAGTTACATAACGTGAATATCATTCTTCTTGATGCCTTTCCCGGTGTCACCAATGCCTTTCCCGATGCCTCCGTTGGTTAATAGAGCATTAAAAGTATTGTTCCAGTTAAAGCTTGAGGAAAATTGCTTAACTTTTTAAGTAGCGAAGTGTAACTTGGTAACATTTCGGCTTTACAACACGATTGTTTTCTGCAACTACAAAACGTACATTTAATTCTTCTTGGTACCTTTCGGATGCCACCGATGCCTTCATTGTTTATTAAAGCAGTAAAAGATATATGTACAATCAACACTTTTGAATTGCTTAACATTTTATTTAGCAAAGTAAACTGTTTACACTTCGGCTTTACAACACGGTTGTTTCCTGATACTACAAATGATCTGTCTATATATGAAATATGAAAGTTGTTTCACTGCTGACCACTCGTATTTGGGTCGTTTTTTCTATCCCCGCTCGTCGCCCGTGATGTAGTAACTCCCAGACAAAACAAGTTAAATCATTCCCTTGGCAGAAACAAAATGATTTGTCCACGGACGCAAAACAATGGAGCAAGGTGAGCTCTTTATAGTGAAGCCAGCGTTAGTTGTGTTGTGTCTGGTACAGAAAGGGACGATAACGTTGCCCGGTTAAGAATTACGCAGCTTGGTTTTTAGCGGAACTTGACTCGACTTTCACTTTCCATTGTTTATTCAGTACTAGCGTTTCCGCATGGAAATCAGACACTGCATTTTGCATCGAAATTCTGACATGTACATGGACCGTTTGCACTAGAAAGGGTATTTTCCGAGAGCAAACACACATTTTTATTTCGATTTGTTCCTCTTTTCTGTTACGCCATGCGAAATTACGATCTTTCACTGATCGCAACTCATCTCGCCGATGCTTACGATTCATATTAGAGAATTCGATGCACTCGTTATCAGTTCAGTCAAATTAGGGGGTAAAGATGCATTATTTGAAGGAAATTTTAATTATTGATGGATTCTGCACAGAGAATCCGTGAAACTGCAAAAGCACAAGTTAATTTTGTTGTCAAACATTACGTATCTCAGTTTCACAGACATTTGATACCCTGTGCTAATCTTTAAGTAGGGGTTTTTCCCTTCGTCGCCTAAATCAAATTAGCATTTTGTATATTATTGTGTTGAACAAGGCTGTCGGATTGGCATGCAGAGGGGGCAAAAAAATTGATTGAATCGTACGAAATGACAATTGACTGCGACCTGATGAATTTTTAAAATCATTTGATGCGCAATTTCGTGACTTGGATGCAAGTTAGCCCACGTGTAGAGAACGGCTACACGTAGGCTAGATGCAAGCGCTCTCTATTAAGCAGGAAGTTGATTCACTGAGGTTCACTGCCTTAAGGTTTTTGCGTTGTCTCGCATGATTTGATCGGTTTTGATACGGTCGACTCGCCCCTCATCATAAATGCACGACCTATACAAACTCAAGGAGATTTAATTTGTACGTCACGCGGCCTCAAACCCGTAAGGTTCACCTTTGTTTTACCCAATATTAAATTCGCCACATATTTTTCTCAATCAATAGCTAAACATCATGTTTTTCAGCATTAGAGAGTGGTTTCGTTGAAATTACAAGATTATATGACAGGCCCCTAAATTATTAAGACGTGTTTTCTAAATTGTTCTTCTTAGAAGTAAGCTGTATAAATCCTAGCAGTTTTATTATCACAACAGTCCCAGTCATCGCCAGTCATCATTGTTAAAGTTCATCGTCATCGCTTTTGTGATAAAGCAATACAACTGTATGAGAAACTCAACTTTATTTAAAAACTGTTCCAAATACAAAGGCGGTCATCGAGAGCAAAATTATGTAAAGGTGATCTTCCACACGCGTGCTGGTGACGTAGGCAAAGTAAAAAAGACCGTTGACCGGAAGTAACCTTCTGAATAGCATCTAGTGAATAAATACAAACGAAGTTATTCTTATTGTCTATTATACTGTTTACATCATTCCACAGTTATCGTTTTTCGTCATCATTATTGTTATAGTTATGTCAATAAAAATTATCACTAGCATTGACGAGGGGGGGGGGGTAAAGAGCGGAAGAGGTGAGGGGGAGGGGAGGGGGATTTAACATATCGCCAACGCAGCAGGAAATTGGTGTTACAAAATACTCCAACTCGTAATCTTTTCAAAAATCGTTTCATCGGGACCACACTTGGCGAACCAATGTGTTACCATGGTAACAGCTCTGGCTTCTGTGCCTGTGTGCAATAGCGGACCTACTACTAAACTACTTGTCCTCCGGTTAGATATTTTAAAGATTACTAACCCAAAGCCTGTGACAAAGTTATACGGGAATTACAAAGCCAAATGCAACCAAACTATGCTAACTTTGAGCAAATTTTCATTTTGAATTTATAATGTAGTCTTTAAAGATTCTGCTTTTCGTACGCTGGAGCTAGTCCGTGGTTCTCAACATTTTTCTGAAACAACCCCGACAGTTTGGATACAAGGAGATACTTGGCCATCGTTTGGTGAAATTGTGACAAGATATCCTCTGTGTGGTGCTTCTAAACTGCGCGTGTTTGTGGATTGTTTCGAGGGAAAATCGAATTTGACCTATGGATTGATCTCTCCGCAAAGCAGGTATGAATCAAGCCCCAATCCACACTATTCTCGTGAACACATTGCATAAGAAGTAGTTAGGGGCGGATCTAGGGCAGGGGCGCTCCCCCACCCCGTCAGTTACGTCATATTGGTGCACCTAGAAAAATGCGGGATCCACTCCTAGCATTACCATTTTTCTGGGTTTGTTCAATGCGTTGTCACAAAACAAAGCTTATTTGCTTGTGATTTTTGATGGCAATCCTTAGATTTGAAGAATTCCTTTAAAAAGTAAAGGTCAAGGGATGAGGTGCGTGAGGCAATGCCGGCCTCAAATTATTTTTAATTTTCCAAACATTTGCGAACTGTTTTGTGTACGTGTTATGCCACGCAGAGAGAGCTGAAATAGGGCTCTTTTGTCTAATTTATTTCACAACAAGTTTTTGATGTCATTTTATACATTTTGAAAGGTGCTTTGCTAACGTCTGAGTTTATAATTTGAATGCGCTTTGCTGGAGTAGAATTTCCTTATAATTCTTTAGGAAACTGCAGATGTTGGGTGTTCAGAATGGAGAACATCTTCGACTGACTGGAAAACTGTGGTAATTATCACGTCCACTTATATTAGCTAAGGTTGCCCTGCACCCTTATCCGTTTCCTTGTAACAAAGCGGGGGAAGCTTGGGCTGAGTGATGGAACCATGAAGGAGGCATGGGGCGAAAGTGAGTAATAAAAAGAGAGGCACAGGCGTTGCGATGAATTCAGACAATCTAACGATCGCCTCTTTCCAGCAAACGGGTGGTAGGTCCGTCAATCGAAGCCTTGATGAAAACAGATCGATCCGGTACCGCCCGAGAGACAAGATCAAATTAAGTAAAATGAGGTCAGAGGATCGTTTTCCCGGGAAATTTCACCCGGCTCGTTAGTCAAAACAAAGTTACAGCGGTTAAAGTTTTTTGGCTCCATGAGAAGTCAGTTAAATTCGAACAATGTTGAAAAGAAATATTGAAATTACATCTAACGTACTGTATGTGTCAATCAACTACATTGTCTGGGATCGTCAGAAACCATTTTAACTATCAGATTCTAGATTGATCGTTATTAAGGACCCCTTCAACAGCGCTTTTACAGTTGGACTGGACTGGCGGCACGAGTACAGAAATTTTTGCTAACTTTAAGCATAAAGTGATTTCCTTCCTCCACTCGATAGCATTTTTTACCAAATAAGGAAACTTGTACCTTTTTTTGTTTTTCTTCCAGTGTATTCATCTCTCACAGATGAATTTACGAAATCATTGAACGATCATACTGTGAATTCATCTAATGACCTTTCATTTTCTTATCTTCAGGGGATGGAGCAGCCAACAGAAGCAAATCTTTAAGAAAACATTCGACTCTAAGACAAGTTTTGCTGCTTCTTCGCAAATAACACATTTCTACAACAGAGACATCAGAAACGGAAGTGTCTTGTGCATTTACCGTGACTTAAAGAGCAACCGCGTCCACTTTGATATCAATGGAGAGGAAGGATGGGTCAGTTTTAGCCGAAGTGAACCAGACTTCTGGTATGGTTACATTCGCTTGAGTTCCACCGGAAGCGGAAGTAAAATTCAAGTCACACTGGTTCCGGAAGAAGATCTAGGTAAAGGCCACGTGATCATACTGTTATGAAGAAGTGCTGGGTAACCAAAGACATCTCAGACTTCCTCTATCTCAGTCAGCGGATGTTAGAGGAAAATATTTTTACCCACGAAAAATAACTTTCAACAACGTTAAAAATTATTAGGGGGGTAGATAGGGTTAGATAAACTTTTTTTAATGAGTAATGTTGTGGAGTAGGATTATTTCTTCAGTTTTTATGTTAAAAAAGTGGGAAATTTCAAGCAATAGAAACTTGAATAGCTACTAGTGTTACAACGTGTTTTAACCAAAACCAAAAAAAAAAAAAAGAAAAAAAATAAAGAAAAGAAAAGAAAAGAAATAATACGAACTATAAGGCAAAACATTCTAAATAAGTATTGGAGCCAGGAAAATGAACAACAACCATATATCCAACAAACGAAAAAGAACCTCAGTCCGAAAGAAATACTAACCTGGTTTTTTAGGACCGTGTTCTTTTAATGTTTTCTAGCTTACTTTGATCCAAGACTTCCAATCGCTATAACACCAGTACAGCAAGAGCCAACAGATGTGGAAGACACTGGAATTTCAGCTCAATTTTGCCTCCCCGTGGAGAGAATAGCGCAAGCAATGCATGCAGGTAAACAAGAGTACTTATAGGTCAGTTGCCATTTACTCAGCTCTGTTTGGTACACTTGTCCCACGGATTTGTTTCCATTTTGCAACAGTTAAACATGGAAGTCGTCCAGCCCATGAAGTGCGTTTGGCTTTAATAAGTGCGTTTAAGAATTATATGAATAAATGCATAACGTGTAGTGCATCAAGAAACAAGCACAAGTTTGTCCAGTTATGCGCCCCATTCCATCAGAGGACCTTCCTCATAAAGTGTGCGTCCTGAGTGGGTTTTGCTAAAAACGACAGTTATTCATACTGCGTAAAATTTATGCGTTGTCTGGACGCCTGTTTTTTGGGAGGGGGAGGGGGGAGAGGGTCATAAGACTGCCGGGTCGCCTTTATCTTTCAGGGTGGAGTTCACTTTAAATTTATAAATAAAACCTGTGAAATCTTAAAAGTTACTCAGAAAATGCATAAACATTGCAAAAATGCTGACAAGAACTAGCTCCGATCGTAGAGGCACTTGCGCGGCGAACCGCGTGTGCCCAATCTGACTTAGTTGCGCATGTTCATGGATGAAAGGATGTGCCAGTTTCAACATCAGTGTTGGAGTAGTTAACTCTTTCACTCCCAAGATCTCATTAGTAATTTTCCTCACTGTCTGCTATACAGTTCTTATGGTGTTAGTTCGAAGAATTTGGTATTGGATCAACCAGTAATCCCTTAATTGAAATTTTCCTTTATTACTTGTCTCCTTGCTTTTAGATTGCTATTGTATGGAGATAGTCGGTCTTGATCACTCACAGCAGTGATAGGGCTGGTGAAAAAAAGGTTGTCTATTTCAACTCATTAAATTCGCAACACGCACACAATTATTATGTGCTGGACAACTTATACTCGCCAATATAGGATCAGTGTTAGAAGATTAATTTCTCTTCACATGTTTGTTGTTAATGTTATTGTTGCTTTTTTTTTTTATTATTTATTATTTTTTTTATTAGCGCTTTGTAGGGTTGTCCCGGACCCCGAAGCAATACTACTTTGCCAGGGACCAGGTATGTCGATGAGAACAATGTGTATGCGTATATGGATACGCGTACGCACTGGAACACATACAAACATTTACATGTGTATATGTATATATCTGCAGGATTTTTGAGAACCAGGATGACTCGGCGTTTTTTCTGCTTCGTACTGCCCGATAAAAACCGCAGCGCACTCTTACACTGCAGTTTTCAGATCCACCCCACTCCCCTGTAAATAGAATGTTAATCCCCTGCCCACTAGCTAATAGTCTTGTCTCCATCAAACTATTGTTATGGCCAGTATTGCCATCAGATATTTTGCGCACGCCCGTAAAGAACACGAGGCGAATGTAGTTCCATCAGCAGGAAGATAAGGTATGAATGTAACAATGCAGTTTTCAGACCTACTACTTTCCAGGACCCCGTATCTCGGTTAAGTTGTTGATAGGCCCTATGGTTTTTATACTTGTTGATCGTCAGCATGTAAAAGCCCCGGTTTACTGAAATGAGTTACTGTGGCCTGACAGGCAGGAATCAAGGTCAGCCCCTATGAAAGTTAAATCACAAATTTGTTTGATTTGGTTTACTCTTATATTTTTAGCGGAAACACCTTGGCTGAGCCACCACTACGTGATGCACACATCTCGTCCGCGTGGACTTTGCCTTCTGATAAACAACGTTCCAAATTTAGCGGTGGGAGAAGAGCAGCTCAAGGGCTTGTTTAAGTTCCTTTCCTTTGATGTGCTAATTGAAAGAGATCTTCAAAGGGACGAGATCTATAATTTAGCTAAGGAATTTGCAAAGAAAGATCATACTTACTTTGACACATTTGTTGTTATTTTCCTGTCTTTTTCTGGCCGGTGCAGTGAAATATCTTGTCCTGATGGTAGAAACGCAAGCCTTGAGCATGTTATGGTGGAGTTCACAGCATCAAGGTGTCCCTCCCTCCGGGGTAAACCCAAGTTATTTTTTGTTCAGCGTGTTAAAGGGATACCTTCAAGGGTCGACAATGAGTGCTCAATCTTCGCAAGCAGAAGCTTTACAGAAAAGGATACCGTCAGGTTGCTTTGCATTTTCACCAGCCAGTGAGAAAGACAGCTGCCCCGAAGAAGCCGACTTTCTGCGTATTTGTGTGACTTCTACATATCCAGCTGATCAACCCAACAGAGAACCAGGGTCTTTGTTTATCCAGCTGAAGGATCAGTCATCGTTTGTCGCCCGGGGGGGGGCTGGGCTGGAGGCTGGAGGCTGGAGGATTTTGGGGGGAATCACATAGTTTTCAGGGGAGAAAAGATGGGAGTCAGTCGTCGCTAACAGAACATAATGAGGGACTTTTGAAAATTGACTGCAAATGAGGGGGGATCATTAGAATGCTACAGGGCCACAGGGGGATCAGATAAGTTTTATAATGACACAACCAAAATCCTCCGGCGATGGATAATGACGGGTCGCAAAGCGTACGAATCAAGGAAGGAAACGAGGCCTGAATTAATATTCACCAGAACCAGTCGAGCAAAACTGATATCTACTGCAGCTCAGATCAACGAAAACTTCAGGCATTATGCAGCTTATTAATATCGATGAAAATGTAATATTAAAATGGAGGTTAATTTTCTTGCCAACTTTAAAATGTCGGAGGAGGGAACTCAGAGGTAGAGTGACGGTAGGGGAAGAAAATTGTGACAGAACTGCACGATGCACTTCAAGTGTTGGATAATAGCTCGGAACGAACAGAAGGAGCCGGGCCTTGCCCAGAAAACGAGAAAGAGGGCTGACGTACCAAAATGGGTACTTTTTTCCTGGATTACCATCAGTGCTACAATAGAGCAATGTTGATACAACACTCCCTCAACCCTTTTTATCAGCATTCACTGATCAATAGGAAAGAGATATATACTCTTTATGTGAATTATTGAATCAAGGGAGCGGACCAGTTACTTTTGCTTTGCTCGTTCAACAGATCTTGGACCAGGTCATAAGAAGTTCCTTTCATCTGTACCATCTGCTTGACATGTTGACGATGGTAAACAAAAAAATGAAGGATAAACAGAGTGAACAACCAAGCATTAAAATGCCATATCGGAACCACGCACTCAGAGCAAGAGTGTATTTAGGTAAGACAATTAATGAAGTAATGCGCCGATCAATTTGAAGCATCAACCCCTTTCCCCCCCCCCCCCCCCCGGACTGGCTGAAGTTTTGAAGACTTCAAGGACTAACGTCATCATTAGAGTCTGTCAGTGGAGTGTCATAGGTCTCGTTCTTGGAGACTGCTGGTCAGTTTGAATGTTAATGGTTTTCAAACCGAGAAATGCATACTGCATAATGTATTGATCCTGGTGACGATACGGGAAGAACACAAGTTTTAGATGAGCTTCCTCCCCAACTAACATGCCTT